CTCAGCCTCCATATCAGACACCTGCCCTGTGGGTTCCTCATCTCACCCAACAGCGTGTTTTTCCCAGTGCTTTCCCCAGGCCAGTTTTAGACTCTGTGATAAGGTCTCCTAGGAGATGTTTCAGAGTTGGGGGAAATTTTGTATTTTCATTTTATTTTTGTGGATTTTTTTTAAACTTATTCAGATAAATGTGCTTACTATGGCTCCAAGTAGCCAAGAGATCTGGCCTGCCCTTCAGTAGCCTTACCCTGTAGGTCTGTCTCATGTTATAAGGACCTCTGGTCAGAGGCCGTGAGGAGGATAACAATTGGTTGAGAAGTCAGAAGGCTTGGCACCAGGCACCTTCAGGAAGGTCACTTTGCCACAACTTACTGAAAAGTGTCAGGAGAGTAGCAAGTCTTAGGGGCAGTTACCAGTTCCATTACACTTCCCATGAAACATTGCCTCTGTGACAGACAAAGGCAAGGGCACCAGGAGAATCCTGGGTGACCACCATTCCTGCCCCTCCCCCCATCCTCTGGGACAAGCTGCACTCTCCTCCCTGAGGCGATGTGGAGCCCACCCTGACCCTGAGAAGGACGGCAGGCTCACTGAAAACAGCTCTCCCCACACAGCCTCGGGTTGGCTGCACGAAGAGACCATCTCCCACTCTTAAACAGGAGGGCGTAATGTGCCGAACATTCGTAATTTGTGTCCTTTGTCTCTAATTGATCAATTTTGCTGATCTCTCAAATATCATTGATTTTTCTCTATAGATTTTGAGTTTGCAATTTCATTGCTTTCTGTTCTTTTTTTTTCTGCTTTGAATTTAATTTGCTCTTCTTTTTCTAGTTTCTTTTTAAATTATTGTTTAAAGTATTACATAGAGCAGCAGTTGGCAAACTGTGGCTCGCGAGCCACATGTGTATGTCTCCTTTTTCTCCCATTGACCTCTTCCCGGCCCCCCCACCCCCCACCCCACATGCCCTCAACCCCCTGGTTTCTGTGTCCATTGGTTATGCTGATATGCATGTATACAAGTCTTTTGGTTGATCCCTTACCCTCCCTCCAATCACACCACCACCACCTTCCCTCTGAAGTTTGATGGTCTGTTCCATGCTTTTCTGTCTCTGGATCTGTTTTTGTTCATCAGTTTAGATTATTGGCTTTTAGGTATTTCTTTTCAAATATAAGCACTCAGTGCTATAAATTTCTTTGTAAATACTACTTTGCTGCATTCTACAAATTTTGATAATTTGTGTTTTCATTTTCATTTTGTTCAAAAATTTTAAAAATTGTGTTGGGATTTCTTTCTTTAACCCATTTGTTATTTAGAAGTGTGTTGTTTAATCTCCACTGGAGTCTCAGTCATTTTTCTTTTATTGATTTCTAGTCTAATTCCACTGTGGTCTGAGAGCAGATACTGTATGACTCCTATTCTTTTAAATATGTTAATGTGTGTTTTATGGCCAGGAAGATGCTCTGATTGGTGAATGTTTCTTGTGAGCTTGAGAAAAAATGTGTATGCTGCTATTGTTAGATGAAGTACTCTATAGACATTCATTATACTCAGTTGATTGGTGGTGCTGTTGAGCTCCCCTCTGTCCTTTCTTTTAAAAAACTTTTTTAATTGATTTTTTACAGCAGGTAAGGGAGAGGGATAGAGAGGTAGAAACATCGATGAGAGAGAAACACCGATCAGCTGCCTTCTGCACACCCCATACTGGGAATATGCCCGCAACCAAGGTTCATGTCCTTGACTGGAATGTACCTGAGATGCTCTATCCATTGAGCTAAACCGGTCAGGGCCACTCTGTCCTTACTGATTTCCTGCCTGTTGGATCTGTCCATTTCTGATATAGGGGTATCAAAATCTTGAATTATAATAGTAGACTTATGTATTTCTCCTTACAGTTCAATCAGGTTTTGCCTCACATATTCGAAGCTCTGTTGTTAGGCACATACATGTTAAGGATTGTTATATCTTCTTAGAGAATTGATCCCTTTGTTATTGTGCAATGTCCCTCTTTTTCTCTGATAGCTTCCCTTGCTTTGATGTCTGTTCTGTCTGAAATTAATATAGCTAATTTGTGGGGGTTTTTAATTAGTGCTAGCACGTTCTTTCTTTCTCCATCCATTTACTTTTAACCTATATATGTCTTTATACTTAAAGTAGGTTTCTTGTTGACAACATATTGTTGAGTCTTGTTCTTTTAAAATATATTTTTATTGATTTTAGAGAGAGAGAAAGAAACATTAATGATGAGAGAGAATCATTGATTGGCTGCCCCTCACATGCTCCCCACTGGGGATGGAGCATGCAACAAAGCCTATGCTCTGACTGGGAGTTGAACAGTGACCTCCTGGTTCATAGGTTGAGGCTCAACCACTGAGCCATGCCAGTCAGGCTATTGAGTCTTGTTAATTCACTCTAACAATCTCTGTCTTTTAGTTGGCTTATTGAGACCATTGATATTCAGCCTGATTATTGATGTAGTTGAATTAATATTTGTCATATTTTCACTACTTTCTATTTGTTATCCTTGCTCTTTGTTGCTATTATTGTCTTACACTCTTTTTCTGCCTTTAGTGGTTTTATCTTTTCCCTCCTTTCTTAATATATTAGCTATACATTTTTTTTTTTTTTAGTGGTTGCCTTAGGTTTTGCAATATACATTTACAACCAATCCAAGCTCACTTACTGCTTCATGGGTATGAATACTTTTTAATAATAAAAAAAATCCTAATTCCTCCCTCTTTTTCCTTATATCATTACTGTCATACATTTCACTTATATTACTTATATTACAAGCACAAAGGAGTGCGTGCACACGCGCGCGTGCGCGCGCATGCGCGCATGCGCGCACACACACACACACACACACACACAAACACACACATAAATATATGTATATATTAGAGGCCCAGTGCATGAATTTGTGCACCAGTGAGGTCCTTTGGCCTGGCCTGTGGGATTGGGCCGAAACTGGCTCTCTGACATCCCCCAAGGGGTCCAGGATTGTGAGAGAACAAAGGCCAGGCCAAGGGACCCCACCAGTGCACAACTGGGGCCAGGGAGGGATGCGGGAGGTTGGCCAGCTGGGAGGGCTCCAGGGCATGTCCAGCCCATCTCTCTCAGTCCCGATTGGCGGGGACCCAGCAGTAAGCTAACCTACCAGTCAGAGCGTCTGCCCCCTGGTGGTCAATGCACATCATAATGAACGGCTGAGCAGCCTTAGGATATCATTAGCATATTACGCTTTGATTGGTTGAACTGCCAACCAGACAGCCAGACACTTAGCTTATTAGGCTTTTATTATATGATATATACATAAGCACACATAATTGAATGTATTATTGCTATCCTTTTAAACAATGTGCTATCTGTTAGATCAATGATGAGTAAGATAAATACAAGTTTTTATTTTACCTTTATTTATTTCTTTTCTGATGCTTTTTCTTTGTTTATGTAGTTCTGAGTTTCTGATATATATTACTAGTATTTTCCTTCTTCCTAAAAGACTTCTTTTAACATTTCTTGCAAGTCGAAACAACTGGCACTGAATTCCCTTAATTTTTGCTTGCCTAAGAAAGTCTTTATTCCTCTTATTATTCTGATCTCCTTATGGAGGCCCATTTGGAGAGTGAGTTTGAGCTGTTAAAATGGACTTTAAAAACCTTAGCCTGGTGCCCTAACTGGTTTGACTCAGTGGATAGAACATCAGCCTGTGGACTGAAGGGTCCCAGGTTTGATTGTGGTCAAGGGCACATGTACAGGTTGGCAGCCCAGTCTCCAGTGGAGAGTGTGCAGGCAGCAGCTGATCAATGATTATCTCTCATCATTGATGTTTCTATCTCTCTTTCCTTCTCCCTTCCTCTCTGAAATCCTATATAATAAAAACCTAATATGCAAATTGTCTCCTCAGGCAGTCATTTGACCAGGAGTTTGACCAGGAGAACGGGAGTTTAACCACTTGCTATGACGTGTGCTAATCACAAGGGGACGATGTGGAACATGGCGGGCATCAGCAATGCGGCAGTGGAGGTGCTGCCAGCTCCAATGGGCCCAGATGAGAGCAGGACCGAGACAGGATGGTGGAGCAGGTGAGCAGGCGGGTGCAGGCAGGGGCCTGATCACCCCCCAAATCCTCCTGCAAATGGTGACCAGTAACAGCAGGGGGCAGGGCTGCTGTCCAGCTCCCAGGTGCTGAGAAAGCCCAGTGGGGCTCTCAAGCCTGACAGATTGCCCCACAGGTGGGATGGTGGAACAGGTGAGAGGGAGGCACCAGGTCAAGGCAGGGCTACAGGGCTATGAGGCTGGGGGCACAAGCTGGGGTCCAATCTCTGCAGGCCACCTCAAGGGACCCCACTCAGGCACAAATTCATGCACCAGGCCTCTAGTAAATAATATATCTTATTTAAAAAACAACAACAACAAACAAACAAACAAACAGAAACAACAACAACAAAACACTTGCCTGGTCTTTTAAAGACTCCTTGTGAGCAACTTAGTAACATCTTTCCAAGGTTTAATTCTTATAGCATAATTCATGGAAAAGCACATCATCTTTTTTTCTGTTGTTTCTCCTCAACAAAAATTTAGACACAAGCTCAAAAATAAAGGCAGTCCCTCCAAACAACCACAGAGCTCCCTAAATTCTACCACGTTGTGTCCAGCAGGGAAGTTGAGTTTCTGACAACTGATCTGCCCTTGCCCACCCATCTCTCTATGACTTTGACACCAGGACCTGCCTGCATGTAGGGGTGTTCTCTGAAAGTATGGGGGGGGGGGGGCGGAGAAGTGTGGAATCAGAATTAAGAGGTTCATTCACTCAATGAAGTTCAGTCATCCAAGTTTCACTTGGACCTGCCTTACCCAAATTTGGGAGTGAGCTGACAAAACTTCCTTTCCTTTGAACTCTAGGAAGGGGTACCAGTTAGAACTGCCCAGAAAACTCGGTACCCCTTTGCTGGAGACTGCTAATAAGGGGAGCACATTTCTGCGGTTGTACAAGGGTTTGGCCAGAATGACCACACAGCTTCTTCCCGGCTTTATGGTGTAAGCACCTGACTCGAAGTTCTTGGGAACAACAAAGTGATTTAAGGCCTGAGAGGAATGAGCAATTCAGAAGACACAGAAAGTCCCGCTAAGACAGGAAGCCTGTCAGTGCCTGATCTAGTCTTGCAGAGTCAGGACTGCCTGGTAGAGCTCGCTTCTGCTGTGCCGTTTACAAGCAGCTGCCGCCCGGGCTCCTGTCATCAAGCTCCTTCCTTCTCTTCACTGATGGATCCCAGGGGGCTTCTCTCCTGGAACGTCCTGCTGTTTCTCTCCCTGGCGTTTGAACGGAGCTGTGGAACAGGTGAGTGCCCATGCGGGTGAGGGTTGGAGACCTGGTATGACTTGCAATGGAGCCAGCCAGCCCCGGGGAGTAACAGGAGACGCGGTGGCCAGGGGCTGTGGTTCAGCTGCCTCTTCCTTAGGAACCAGCTGGGAGTTTCAACAGCCCCTTTTAAACAGGAAGGAACGTGGTGAGGTCCTGTGCCCCTGGGTTCCGAGGAAAACGGGAGCTCTGAGCCCAAGGCACGGTCACCTTCTAGACCAGCCTCTCCGGTGACAGGCTCTGGCCAGTTCTGGTTGAATGGGTGGTTTTGTGTGGATGTCCTTCTGGCTAAGGCCCAGGCTGAGAGCTTGAGATGGGGAGCTGGGGTTCTGGGAGAAGATGCTCCCACACTCTTGCCCTGCAGGGGGTCAGAAACACAGTCTGACAACAAGGGAGGACTGTGATGGGAAGCGAGGGTAGACGTGAAAATCCCAGGCCTTTGGTTGAGAACAGAGTGGCCACGGTGTGGTTTTACTGGTGGCCACTTTCCTGGAAGAGAAGGTTTCAAGGCAGCAATAGGGAAGAGGCCAGCAGTTCTGGTTTTCTGGTTCCAGTAAGTGGTCAAGGCAGCGCCGGCTCAAGCCAGTCGCACACACGCCAGAGCACTTGGACTTGGCTCGGCCCCTGTCTTCCTTGCCTTCTGAAGGCTAGCTGGTGTTCTCTGTTTGGTAGCATCCAGGCTGTGGGAAAAGGCATTTGCGAAAGAAAAAAGTGAACTTTGGGCTCACTGGGTATTGGGCTGAGAGTCTCATTTCAGCTTAAAGGCCTTGGGGCTTTGATTAGAGTGTGGGAGGCAGCCTGAAGTGTGTGTGTGGGAGAATCCAGAGGCTCCGCATGTTTTGTGCTTGGGGTTTTCAAGACGGTAACTCCATTATGGACTTTTCCAGGAGAATCCCAGAGACATGCCGGGGAGGCCAGAGGGGCAGCACAATGAGATCTGCCCTCTGCCCGACTCCCAGGTGGAAAGACCTTCCTGGCCCCACTTTTTCTCAGAATCAGGCAGACCCGTGGCTCTTGCTGCCCGATGTCTGGGAGAGGAATAGCTGAGCTCAAGGCCCAGAAAGCTAAACGGAGCCACTTTAAGCCACCACCGGAAGGGCCAGGCCTTCCTGAGCACACCCTATTTTTAACTTCTACCTCTTAGAACACCTCTTAGTGACTGCGAGGAGGGGAGGGGCTGAACAGGGTGCTGGGCTTTCTCATCTCCACACTTGCTTGCCTCCCGGCCCATGACGTCTCAGGTGCTGCTGACAGCTGTTCCACTGAAGACTGTGGAGGTCACTGGTTAGCGACAGCCCAGCCCCCATAGGGTGTGTCTACCCAATCGGCAGTGGCTCCCTTCCTTCCAGTGTCTTCTCTGAAATAGGCACGAGACTTTTAGAGCTTTTATTTTTAAGTACACGCCCTTCTGTGAAACCCCATAAAACCCAGACAGAAGTGTTTTGCGAGTGGAGCAGATCAGCCATGACAGAGTCACCCAACCAAGTAGCCAGTTCTTCTAAAATCAGTACCCTCTTCCCTTCCCATCTCTATCCAGCTCACCTTCCAATTCCCAGTCAGAATTGTAAAAATCGAAAAGTTCACGTGGCTCCGTGGTTGAGCATCAAACCAGGAGGTCATGATTTAATACCCCTCCTCCCAGTCAGGGAACTTGCCCCAGTAGGGGACATGCAGGAGGCAACCAATCAATGACTCTCTCTCATTGTTGATGTGTCTTTCTCTTCCTCTCCTTTCCTCTCTGAAATCAATATATATATAGTTTGTGTGTATATGTGTGTGTGTGTGTGTTTAAGTTCACATCCGTTCTCTCAGTAAAGTGTATTTTCCATCCCCCCTATGGTACTTTTAAAAAATAGACTTTATTTTTAGAGTAGTTTTGGATTCTTAGAAAAATTGAGGCAGAAATATAGAGATTTCCCCATCCCCCTTACCCCTGCTCCCGCCACACATGTGCAGCCTCCCTTATTATCAGCATACCCCACCGAGTGGCACATTAGTTATAACGGATGAATCTACCCCAATAGCATTTTTTATTCCTTCATGCACGCCTTTTCCACCTCTTCTTCACACATGGGGGGAGGGGAGAGGTGAGGGACAAGTAAATGTGGATTCTAGAATTTGTCCAACCCTGTGTATATAACAAGCTTGGGCCCATTTTATCTCAAGATGTAGATCTAGGAATTTTTTTTTTTCTCAAAAGCTTTAATAATGCCACCACCATCTCTGTCTCCAGCACTGGACTGGAAACCAAAACATCAGGGCTACTTGTTTTATCATAGCTTGACTTTGGACTGTCCCATTCAGCAGCTATGTAATTAGAATACATGATGTGCCAGGCATGGTGAGAGGTGTAGGGAGAGCAAAATGAGCAAACACAGCCTCTGCCAGCGCCTGGCACAGAGTCTGGTCCATGAGAGCTCTTCCACACATGTCTGTGGACCGAGTAAGGATGTCATGTGCTGACTACCTACCTGGCACTGTTCTAAGTGCCTCATGTGTATCATCCATCTCATTCTCAGGCCAACCCTAAGAGATATTTTTTCATTGCGGCTACCATTATACTTTTTATAAAAGAGGAAAGAGAGGTACAGAGTAGTCTAGGAACTTTTCTGAGGTCACACAGCCTGACTCCAGAGACCTCAATGAATAAAACTGGATGAACTTGTGTTTAGGGAGGGGAGGAAACGCTAAAATTTGTATCCAGGTCCCATGGTAAAAATGAGAATGTGCTATCTATAATTGAAGCATAGGAGTCAACTTGAATTGAATTGAAATGAATCAAAGTATAAAAATTTTCAAAAGATGGATAAAACTATAGAAGGAAGTAGAAGGCATATGTAAGTATTTGATCTAGAATTTGTAAAGTGGATAGAAACTTCTTTCATCATGGAAGTTTTCATTTAATAACTTGGTTAACTGGTTTGTCTAGTGCAAGAGTATCACATGTACGTCTACAAAACTTTGACAACACAATGGGGTATAAAATGGACACAAATTTCCCTTCCATATCCTTCATGGAGGAACTCTATTACCAATTTCTTTCAAGTCCTTCCAAATATACTAGTGCTAGAGGCCCAGTGCACGAAATTTGTACATGGGGGGGGGGGGGGGTGTTGTTCCTCAGCCCAGCCTGCAACCTGTCCAATCTGGGATCCCTCTCACAATTCAGGACTGCTGGCTCCCAACTGCTCGCCATGAATAATTTCACTCACACACCTCACTTCTAGAATGTGAGGAGATGGAAGTGCCTTAGCTGGGAACCTTAGGTTTGGGGGACAACGGACCATTGACCATTTTCTCTGAACACTCAAACACTTTACTTCTAACTGCTTCTGCCTGTCAGCCTGATCACCTCCTAACCGTTCCCCTGCCAGCCCTGTCACCCCTAACTGCCCTCCACTGCTGGCCTGGTTGTCCTGAACTGTCCTCCCCTGCAGGCTTGGTTGCCCACAAATGCTTTCCCCTGCAGGCCTTTTCCCCCCAACTTCCCTCCCCTGCAGGGCTGTCTTCTCCAACTGCCCTCCCCTGCAGACCTGGTCACCCCCAAATGCCCTCCCCTGCCATCCCAGTCACCCCTAACTGCCTTCCCCTGCAGGCTTGATCACCCCCAATTGTTCTCCCTTTCAGGCCTTCCCAACTGCCCTCCCCGGCTGGCCTGATCACCCACAACTGTCCTCCTCTGCTGGCCATCTTATGGTGGCCATTTTGTGTTTGCATGGGGGCGGCCATATTTGACCATATGGGGGTGGCCATCTTGTGTGTTGGAGTGATAGTCAATTTGCATATATAGGATTATTATATAGGATATGTTTGGTAGGTTGGATTGTTATAGGACTTGAGAAGAGTGCTCTAGGTGACAGCACTAATGTAGAAGTGAGATGTGTGAGTGTTCAGAGAAAACGGTCAATGGTCTGTTGTCCCCGAAACCTAAGGTTCCTACCTAAGGCACTTCTATCTCCTCACTTGGCAAGTGGGGAGAAGGGTCCCCATCATTTCTCTCCATTTTACATCTCTCAGGGATGTTCTAAAGATGAAGAGAGTATGTTCTTATTTTGGAGAGAGGAGAACTTAAACTCTTGTCATTTGTTCATTTAGTTCATTCAGCTGTTTCATTCTGGGGCTACAAGGATTTATTGAGCTCCCACCATGTCCCAGGTGAGTCAGGATCACCACAGTGAACACGACCGTCACAGTCCCTATTCTTAGAAGCTTCTAACGAGGTCAAGATGATGGGCCTTGAACCAGAGTTAAAAGCATGATGAGAGGGGCAGAGGGCAGAGGCAGGTGGAAGGTGCTAGCCAGGCAAACATAGGGCGGTACCAGGCTTTACGGCTGGGGAGTGGCAAGTACAGATTCTCCAGGACAGAAAGACCCAGCAGCACCAAGGACTGGGAACAGAGGACGGCTGCTGGGATTAAAGTGGAAAAAGCAGCCTTGGGCACATTAACCTTTCCTTCCGACCCTAGATTTGTTGTAGGAACCATGAGGCTCTGTAGCTCCCGCCTCTCCTCTACCTGAAAGAAGTGCTGTAGGAGAATGCTACCAGCGGGTGTGACCGTACTGGGTGGGGGAGGGGAGGGGTGGGAGTGGGGGTGCTGGTCTCATTAGGCAGAACCCAGTCTGGTGAAAGGGTTGGTTCAATGCTACTGATTTCAGGAAACTATCCATGGCCCCTGTGAATCACTCTAGTTTCTGGTAGAGTGACGCTGGAAGGAAAGTGAGTTGGTGCTGACAGCTACACATGTTCCTTCCAGACCCTCCCTGTAAACAGGAATGACTGAATCACAGGCCCCCCGGAAAACGCCCGTCAGGCAGCAGCTTCGGGAGCGGGGACTCCACCGAAGGCCTGCATCATCCTCTTTAAAGCCCCCACTTCTTTCCACTCATGCCCAGGTGGCAAGGATGTCAAGGCTCCCCGTCAAGCACACACACAGCGCTGTTATGTCATCCTTTTGTGGTTGTGGGCTGGGAGGGTCTCTTCCTAACCAGGTTTTGATTCCACTTCCCATGACTGAGTGTGCCCAAACCACTCAGCCTGTATTTCTCATCTGCCCCCTCTTTTCTTTTCCACTTTCCCCTCCTACTTTCTTTCCTTGATTTTTTTTTTCTACTCCCTCTCTCCTCCTGGGTTCCCTCCTCCCCACTCTTCACCAATTCTGAGTTTTTACTGTAACCATGGTGCAGGGATGGTGGGTTAGGTGAGGGTAGGGGCACACGGGAGATGGATGGGACGGGGGAGGGTTATGGCGTGAGAAGGGAAATCGTTTTCATTTCTTTTCTCTTCGTATCCAAATTGGCCTAAACCTATAGATGGTAAGAGAGTGACTTTTAATCTCGTTTCGAAGTCCAGGCCCCTTTGAGAGATGACGTTTATGGATGTGTTCCCAGAAAAATGTCCATGTGCTGAGCTGCCCAACATTTTGTACAAAATTTCAGGGGACGCCTTGGGGTATTTCTTCTTGCACATATGGTTCTGATTTTCTACCCTCCCTTTGTATGAAGCAGCTTACATTCAAGATGCAAGAGGTTACTTTCTCGGGTTCTGTACCTGCCACGTTATCTGGACGGCCAGGCATTCGTTAAGGTGTTGGCAACATGCTTCACAAATTACCTTTGTAAAAACGTCAACACCAGCACCAGCATTCCACACCAGCATTCCTCAGCTAAACAACCAGGAGAGCATTCGGTTTTCAGAGTTAATATATTAGCAATATATATATTTTTTAAATGCCTAACTGCCTTTCTCACTTTTCGTTAATGAGTCTCAGCCACTCTAATCGTGATGCCGGCCCAGGTAGATGGCTTTCTTTTTCCTTTCTCTCCTCCACCCCCACCCCCAATCTCTAATCTCTAGTCTGATGTTACCTGGGCCCTCACAGAGTTAGGATTTCAGGATAGTTTGGTATCAAGAACATTTTGGCCCGTTTGTCCGATTTCCCAACCACCGTCTTAGTCACAAGTTAATTGTGTCTTTTATAAGGTGGTTACATCACTTAAGCAAACCATTTTAAGTCTCTTTTCTGACTTTTGTTATCAGCTAGAACAATCTATGCTTTCTCTGAGTCATGGGCTCCTTCTTTTATGAGCATTAGCTATGGTTACGTTATTGAGATCAGTTATATATTGGGCAAAGTTGAATAAGAGGAATTTTAGTCAGATAACATGGCTTTCGGCGTTCATAAATTGAACAGGCATTTATTAAAAGCCTACTGTGTGCCAACCACTGTTGTGAGTCCTAGGGACAAAGCAATGAACAAAATATGATTCTTCCTCTTAAGGAGTTTGCATCCTAGTGGAAAAGACAAAAATAAAATAAATAAATATACAATTTAACATCAACTTAGCAACAAGGAGAGCATTTTGTTTTCAAAGTTGATATACTAGCAATATTAAAATAGTGATAAGTACAACAAGAAGGGGGACACTATTTTGTTTATTTGGGGGGGGGGGGCAGACAGGGAGGTCAGAGTACATTTCACAGAAAAGATCATGTTTTAGCAGAAACCTACAATAAAGTGAGGGAATGAGCTATCCAGATGTACAAAAGAAGCACTGAAAGAGAGTAAGAGACAGAGACAGAGAGAGGTGCAAAAGTTCTAAACCAGAAATGTTCTTGAGTAAAGAAACAGCCAGAGTCAGGATGTCCATAGTGCAGAGAGCACACAGCAGAGAGAGAGGGAAGGAGATGAAGTTGGAGCAGCATCAAGGCTGGGTAATTCAGAGTCTCTGAAGCCAAAACAGGACTGTGAATTTTTATTCAATGGGTGCTAGAAAGCCCTGGAAGTTGAAAAGCAGAAGAAACAACATTGGGCATAGTTCCAATCCATTGTATGGATGTAGGAGATTAGATGGAAGACAATGGCGGGGCCTAGGCCAGTGATGATGGTGATAGAAGCAAACGGGAGGTTCAAAGAGCTGGGATGCCACACGTATTTTGAGGGCCCAGCCGACAGGAATTGCTGATAGACTGAAAGCAGAGTATGAGGAAGAAAGCAGTCAAGGAGGATTCACGTATCTTTGCCTGAGAATTTGTGGGGAATCGTGAAGTAGTTTGAAGAAGGGGCTTTGGAATCAAGTTCACTTGGTAAGTTAGAGATGCCTTTGCACTTCTAAATACTGAGGAGTATGGTGAAGGGTGAGAGCTATGTCTCTAAGCATTCCAGAAATACGTTGAACTGTGTGCCTGGGTGAGTGTGGCCAGGGAAAAAGAAGAGGTCTGAGTGTGAGTCCTGGGATGCTTCAATACGTAGAGGTTTTTAAGAGCAGAAGGTTCCAGGCAAGAAGACTGAGAAGGAGCAGCCAATAAAATAGATGGAGAATCAGGAGAGTGTGGTCTTCCCGAGGCCAGGGAAAGACGGTGCTTCAAAAAGGGAGTGATGTCCCGTGTCAGATGCTCCTGAGAAAGCAAGAGGGGGATGGAAGTGACCTGGTGTCATGAATGATTCCAGGACAAGAGTGATTCCAGTAAGCAGTAGGGAAGAACGCCTGTTCGGAGTGGGTACAGGGAAAAAAAAAGTGGGTCAGGAAATGGAGACAGAAAATAGATAACACACTTAAAAAAACTTTGTGATCATGAAAAATAGAGAAATGGGGAAATGGCTGGGGGATAGGCCATTAGGGGGTGGTTTTTTAAGATTAGGGGGTGGTTTTTTAAGATTAATAAAATTACATGTTGGCATGTTGTGATCATGGAAATAACCCACATATATCAATCAAATCATAATAAAACCCATGATGCGAGGGTGGGGCAATTGCCTTGAAGCAGGTGAGTGCTCCATGAAGAGGAAGCTCACCATGAAGGAGGTAGCCCTCCCTGGAGCCCAGGCAATCCATCCAAGCAGGCAGGTTAACTTGGTGGTGCTAATTAATGGAAGGTCTCTTTTTATCTCTTCTGTTCTTCAGCAAAATCAGAAGCAGGTCATCAGCTGAGGTTGTGGCTTTGAGGAGAGAAGATGTGTTAAATAGTTAACAGTGGGATCCTTTACATTGGTTTGAAAGGTTTGAGGTTTTTACAGCTATTGTTGGTTCTGCTTTTTGTTGTGAATCCTCACCCGAGAATATTTTTCCATTTATTTTTTATTTTTTTATTCAAATTCTTTATTGTTTAAAGTATTACACGAGTCTCCTCCCCACCACCCCCCTTAACCTCTCCCTGACTGCTCCTGCCCCCCATCCATTGATTTTTTCTTTTTCTTTTTAGAGAAAGTGGAAGGGGGAGGGGAGAGAGAAGCATCAATGTGAGAGAGACACATCAATTGGTTGTCCCCCCACATGTGCAATGAACAGCCCTGGAATCAAACCTGAAACTCAGGCAATTGCTTTGACTAGTAATTGAGCCACACTGGCCGGGACAGCTCCACTTCTTTTGAAAAATAAGATAATTTCTTATCCTCAACATCACATGTGTCAAACACAAGGCCCGCGGGCCAAATCCGTCCCGCCAGGCCTTGCAATGTGGCCTGCACCGCGCTGTCATCACTGCACTCCGCTGCGTTTCCATCACAATGACAGTTTATGACTGTTCAGTAAACCATTCGGCCCACGATTTAGGCTGGATTTTAGATTTTGGCCCCTTCTCTGATTGAATTCGACACCCCTACTCAACAAGATTAACTGTCTTGAAGGGTTTTGGAGGGCTAGGAAACCACAGTTTCCACACGGGGCTCAAAACCTCCCTGTCTCCACCTTCCTCAGACTTTTCTCATTTCCATTGTCTAAAATGGCACTCTTGTAACCTTGGTCTCCTGGGCTCACGAGCTCAGAGTCACTTCCAGTTGCTCTCCATCCTTCAGCGTATATACTGGTGAGAAGTCTGGTGGAGGAATGACCATTCCTGGACTCTAGTCCAGTTACCAGTTATGTGATTTTCAGAAAGTCATTTACCTTCTCTATGCCTTAGGTGCCTTACCTATAAATCTCAGCTGATAGAACTCCCTCCCAGGTCAAAGAAACCCAGTGTCCTAGTGAGTCTATGCAGATCCATAATAAGTAACTTTAAAATTTCCACTGCAATATTACAAGTCCAGCAGGGCCCTCATGCCAGTCTCTATAAATCACTAAGGCCTGGAAAGCCTAGTCTGTCATCCCTGACCCACGCATCACTCACCAAGCCCCTGGCCCTGGCATAGCATTGTATCTTCCTGAGGGGAAGAGGCAGCTTTTTCTCATTTAAACAAAGGCTCTGGATAGAAAGTCACTTCCTTGCAGAATTAAACCAGAGTATAGTTCTTCTGAATCCATCCAGTGCTTTACTGAGCCTTTCTTATCCCAGCTCCTCTTAAAGGCACCCAGTTTGTATCTCTTAGGTTCCGAGGTTCCCTTGAGTTCCCAGGGGTCCTGACCACCACGGGATTCTCCAAGGCTCCCATAATAAAGGACTGTCTTCTCCTTCCTGCCACAGGTTGCCCGACAATCTTTGGGCGGTTGGGAAGCAGTGTGCTGCTGCCCCCAGTATCTGATGGGATAAGTAAGAGTATGAACAAGAGCATCCACATATTAATCACAAAGGCAGAATCACCGGAAAACAGGTCCAGTAAGAAAATCGTGTCTCTTAAGCTGCCAGAAGGAGGCCCTTCATCCCACCTGGAAAATGGCTATAGGTTTTACCCGGAAAACTTGAGCCTGGAGATCCTGGAAAGCGAAAAGGAGCATGAGGGCTGGTACACTATGACCCTGGAGGAAAAACATTCAGTCCAGCGCTTTTGCCTGCAGCTGAAGCTCTATGGTAAATAATGGTTGCTTCTCCACACTGAAGGGCCAAGACGGTCCCTTGCCTAAGATCTAAGGCCTCTCTCAGAGGCAAAGAATAGTCAGAATAGAGAGCACATGAAAGATCGCCTAGTCTGGGGATATTTAAGCTGTGTTTTGGAAGGAAGTGTTAGGTTCGAAAATCTTTCTTGTCCGAATTGTACATTGGTGATAGATGATTAGCATAGTCACCCTTACCCCACTTTCCCAAAGTGTCAGGACTGACCAGCAGACCCTGAGCGGCTGATGAATGATTACTCTGACACACGTTTCTGCGAAAGAGAGGGCTAAGGGACTGTCTGGCTAAAGGAACCAGGCGGCCTCATTTGCCTGACTCCTTAGGCTTTTATTGTAGCAACAGCTTGAACTAAAATTAACTTCTAGGTATTATCAGCAGGGTAAGTATCCCTGAAAAAACACATGCATCTGCAGTGTTTAAGCAAGGATGTCTGAAGTATAAATATAGATTCCAGTAAAACACCAGGGGCTCAGACTTGTTTGGAAAAGTCAAGGCGGGGCCTGCCGCTTTCAGCAAGGTTCTGCCAACCTTTGGGAGAATCCTTACAGACTTTCCAACCAAGTCCTGTGCTTCCCACCACCAAAGAAAAAGAGCACAGCTACCTGTGGGCCAGAGGGCCTGGAGCCCCAAGAGTCTCAATTTGCAAGTAAGAATTCGTTATTTTTAAAAGGTGGCTTTTTCCCGCCCTGATTTTTAAAAGTTTGAACATCAGAGGACGGAAATCCAGAGAAGTGGTTTGTACAAGCTTTCACACATCTGAGTGGGTGGTGAGAGAAGGAGAGCTGAAACTCAGCCCCCGCACCATCCTCCAAGTCCTGTGCCCTGGCCAAGCATTGCATTTTCTTGGGGGAAGAGGCAACTTTTTCTCATTTACACAAAAGCTCTGGTTATAAAGTCACTTAACTGCAGAATTAAACTAGAACCTAGGTTCATCTGAATCTGAGGCCAGTGCTTCACTGAGCCCCTCTTGAAGGTGCCTAGTTGGTATCTCAGGCTCAGAAGTGTCCTTGACTTCCCATGGATCCTACCATGAAGGCCATCCTGCATCTTTGCCGTGGCTGCCTTATCTCTGAGGATGGGACAGGAAGCCCCACCTAATCCTCAGCATTTCTTTGAAATCATCAGGTACCTCCAGGAAAGACAGAAATACTCTCCTCACCCTTCCCCTACCCTAGAATTCCTTTTCCTCCAAATAGTGTATACAGAATTTCTACAGCCCTCCAGCAACTACCAAGGAGTCCTGATCAGTCACACGCTGGTCCTGGCCCAGGCTGCTGTGAGCCTGGAGACTATCCGTCATGCATATTCCAGAATAGTCCACCTTGCCTTTGTGGCACCTTGTCACATTTTGTGATCAAATTCTTACCTTGAAAATATGGTCTCTGCAACCATGATATTCTCAAATCAAAGGAGGAGGCTGGATTTTTTAGTCAGACAGACCTAGTTTCAGATCTCAGCTTGGCTGCCTATAACCTGAGTGACATTCTAAAGGTACTCCACTTCTCTGGGACTTAGTTTCCTCACCTGTAAAATGGGAATAAATATAACTAGGGTTGTAATTTTAAGGAAGTTTTTAAGAAGATTAAAGAATGTGATGAATGTGAATTGTCAGCATTGTGCCTGTCCTACAGTAGTTGCTAAATAAATAAAACATTATCCTTTCCCTTGCCGATTGCATGGCATTTAGAGTGAGATAGATCAATGAGGCCTCTACTTCAGACATTCTAAAGCACTGGACACACACACACACACACACACACACACACACACACACACTAAAATTCTACCATTGAAAAGTCATTCTTTTAGGTCTTGGAGGTGCTACTTTGGCCAATGACAATTAAACCTGTGGGGGATTTATTAACAGCAAACTCCACAGATAGCATACAGAGCAACCTAGATCAGGAACATCAGGGAAGGCCAGGGAGTTGACTGAAAGACAGGGTTTTTTTGTTTGTTTTTTTCTCTCTATTTTATCCCAAGGTGGTCCAGGCAATGAGTATGGGGGGGAGAGAGGGATGGTGCAGAGCTGTAGGTCCCTACTAGAAATAAGTCAGACTTGCAGACCCACTGGGAGGAACAAGGCACGAGGCTGCATTTTCTTCTGATAAAAAGATCAAGTCAGAATTTCAGGGGGTTCATAACAGTGATGACTCCCTTTCTCCCCTCATGACAGAGCAGGTCTCCACTCCAGAAATTACGGTGCTGAACCGGACCCTGGAGAATGGAAACTGCAGCGTGGTGCTGGCCTGCACCGTGGAGAAGGGGGACTACGTGGTTTACAGCTGGAGCACGGAGGCAGGCACCCACCCGCTGAGTGTAGACAATGGCTCCCACCCTCTGTACCTCACCCTCGGCCCTCAGCATGCTGACGATAACTACATCTGCACCGCAAGCAACCCCATCAGCAACCATTCCCAGACCTTCACCCCGTGGTCCAGCTGCAGCTCCTCTTCCCCAGGTGAGTGGTGGCTTGTTGGCGCCACCTTAATGCTATGGGCTCAGTCCCACCTGGACCAATCTCTCTGCTTCTATAGCCAGGCCTTTGCCTGGGTGGCAACACTCCATTTTCTCTCTAGTTTATAAAAGCCTCCCATGTGCACTCAAGGAGTGCTCTCTGCCCATCATAACCAGGGTGGCATGATGACACTCAGTTCACGGGTGAGGAAATCAATGAGCAATGATGGTGGCAGACCCAGAATCCCGGTCTCCAAGTCATGATTCTTCTTCTCTCTGCTCACGTTGGCTCCAGTCAGCAGAGGTGGCTGGGTGAGGGGGTTCAGGTGGCAGGTCCTGACTTCCACATCCCTGTCCAACCAGTGGTGGGACAGTTCTATACCATCAGTAAGTACTTATGGATCACCTGGGCCAGTGGTCGGCAAACTGCAGCTCGAGAGCCACATGCGGTTCTTTGGCTCCTTGAGTTTTTAGCAAAGGCCAGCCTAGGATATCCTAATTAAGTTCATAACAATGTGCCTACCTATATAGTTTAAGTTTAAAAAATTTGGCTCTCAAAAGAAATTTCAATTGTTGCACTATTGATATTTGGCTCTGTTGAATAATGAGCTTGCCAACCACTAAGTTAGGCTGTAGGAAATCAGGAATACATATGACATCTGATCTGCTCTCCAGAAATGTGTTATAAAGATAAGACATAAAACATTTGCTCAATAATGAAAAGCAGGAAGTAAGGAAGGACCACTTTTATGGAATTGACTGTGGATCCCATAGTGGGTGAGAGGATTCTGGGAGTCAGCTCTCTGAGAAAGACCTGGACTGGGAAAGTGTGGGAATCATGATAAATGCTCTAGCACTGCATCACTGCAAAGGCACTCTCCATGGTCTCTTCTGATCCTCACAAGAACCTTGCAGCAGCATCCTCATTCTGCAGACGAGGAACTTGAAGCTCATGGTATTGAACTACCTTTCTCACATTTCTTCAACTTACAAATGGCAGAGTCAGCACCCAAACCTAGATCTTCTGATTGCTCTCTCACTGGAAGGAAAGGCACCATTATTCTGTTTTTTAAAGAAATGGGGGGCTGATGAAGCAAGCCCACCTGAGCACTGAGAGTTGGGAAGAAGATAGTTGGGAGTTGGTGACTCTTTTCACCAACATACGTTGTGTCCCTGTCTCAGGGACAGAGAACCAGGGTGCTGGCCTTGCTTATGCCCTCTGGGCATCCCCTGGGAGTCTCCAAGGAGACTCCTCCCACAGGAGGTTTGGAGTTTATGTGGAAGGATCTCCAAATGACCAGGGATGGAGAGACAGGGAAAGCCAGCCAGTGTGTGCACTTCATGATAGCATCTCCGGTGAGAGCCACATGAGCTGCTGGGAAAATCCCACCTGGCAGCCAGTCCGGTTCCTTGGTGAACTGAACCCACCGTGTGTTGCCTCCCCAGCCATTCATGGTGAGTCAGTCATCTGCCCACCTAGAAATGTGTCTGGCTGCTTGCCCATCTTGTCCACAAACTACACTCAGAGGCTGTCTCCCAGTTCAGGCCCCTCTCCCTGGCCACAGTCATTCAGAATGTGCCGGTGGGACCAGGACAGCAGAGTTTACAGGACATAGCCCCAGAGGTCCCAGATCCAACCCTGCCTGCCCTTTTTGCTTACAAAGTTAAGTCACTTAACCAAGACTTAGATTCTTCCTCTGAAATAATAACTGACAGGTCTTCACTGTGTAGTGTATGCCAGTTATGTAGCATCCTACTTCATCCTCACAGCAGCCAAGCAGTGCTAGTACCCCCAATTTACAGAGGAGGAAATAAAAGTATAAAAAGATCACACAGAGCAAGTGACAGAGCTGAGCTGTCTGACCCTGGAACCCTCACAGGTACTAGTGGAAGAAATCATACATGTGGAATGCCTGATAAATGACAGTAAACGTGTTGCTGTTTCTCCTTGGGGCCGAGGAAGCAGCGGCTTTGAACCCTGCCCAGCACTCTCTGGTCACAGCAGCCCTCTTTGGCCCATCTCAAAAAAAGGGGAAGAGCTCTTTTCACGGTTCTCGATGTGGTTGAATAGGAATTTTAGTGCATTCCAAAGTAATGGCAGGCCATCGAGCTTTTACTCAGGCCCGTGGCCCGGGACAGTCCAAAAGAACGTCAAGATGCTCTTACCCATCTAAGCTAGTTTGAGGACCACGTATGCACTGGCCTGAACCAGATTTATTGAGTATGAAGCAGGTTCCTGGAAGTGGTGGAGAGGGAGGCGAAGCAGAAGTAAGGCACCACGGGAAAAACCCTGTCCGGATCGCAGCTCAATCCCGGAGAACTTCGGGACATTTTGCTTTCTTGGGGCTCTGATTTATCATCTGTGAAATGCAAAGGGTGAGCTAGTGAAGGTCATTCTAGAGTTGATATTCTAATTCAGTTGGTATGTACTTTAATCAGAAATGCTCAGAAGGGTTACAAAGGTGAAGGGGTATTAGTTTGCTAGGGCGGCCGGAACAATGTACCACAACCTGGTGGCATAACCAATAGGAATGCATGGTCTCACCGTTCTGGAGGCTGCAAGTCCAAGATCAAGGTGTTGGCACAGTTAGGGAAGGATCTGTTGCAGAGCTCCCTCCTGGACTAAGAGCTGGCTGGCTTCTGATGTCTCTTTACATTGTCTTCCCTCCATGCATATCTCTGTTCTAATTTCCCCTCATTATAAGAACTCTAGAGGCCTGGTGCATGAAATTCATGCACAAGTAGAGTCCCTAGTCCTGGACAGCAATCAGGGCCAATTGGGGCCTTCTGGCTGCCTACTGGGGGCCTTCCTCTCCTCGCTATGTCTTCACATGGTCTTCCCTCTGTGGGTGCACATCCCAGGTCTCTCTTTGGGTGTGCAATTCCTCTTCTTATAAGAACACTAATACTGCCCTAGCTGGTTTGGCTCAGTGGATAGAGCATCAGCCTGCAGACTGAAGGGTCCCAGGTTCGATTCCAGTCAAGGGCACATGCCCAGGTTGCAGGCTCAATCTCCAGTGGGGGGCATGCAGGAAGCAGCCAATCAATGATTCTCTCTCATCACTGATGTTTCTATCTCTTTCTCCCTCTTCCTTCCTCTCTGAAATCAATAAAAAAAATTATTTTTTTTAAAAAAGAAGAACACTCGTACAATTGGCTTCGGGCCCACCCTACTGGCCTCATTTGAACATCTTCACCTCTTTTAAAACCCTATCTCCAAATACAGTCACATTCTGGGGTACTGGGGGGCTAGAGCTTCAACATACACTATTCAACCCATAACACCACCCCAATGGCCTCATTTTAACTTGATTAATTCTATAAAGACTATGTCTCAAAAAAAAAAAAAAAAGAAAAGAAAGAAAGAAAGAAAGAAAGAAAGAAAGAAAGAAAGAAAGAAAAAGAGAAGAAAAGAAAAGAAAAGAAAAAGACTATGTCTCCAAATGAAGTCACATTTTAAGGGCTTCAGCATGTGCACTTTGGGGGAAACACACTTCAATCCATAACACAAGCAGGGATTCCCCTTCCCCGCCTGTAGGGACAGGGAACTACAGCATGTCAGAACCAGCTCCCACATGCTGTTCCCAATGCACCAAATTGACCAAATAGAAACCAAAAAAAGGTTTTATTAATTCATTGATTTGTGTTTGCAAATGAATCCTACTGATTCTTAAAATACTGTGCTTAGTTCAACAAAACATTTATTGAGGCTCTACTATGTTCTGGCATTGTGCTAGGTCCTTAAGGAGGGAGATAGCTCTGGATGTAACTAATTATCCTGGATTGTACAGGGTGAGAGGTGCAAAAACAGAGATATGGGCAAGATAGCAAAGAGGTGGGAATGATTATCGCCGTCTCAGGAAAATGAAAGGAGCACCACAGGGGATGTGACAAACTGGGTTTGAAAAGTAAATAGAAATTACCCACGCAGATTTGAAAAAAAAAGAAAAAAAAAAGAAAGAAAGAAAAAAAAATGACGTTGGCAGAGGAAAAAAGCAGATACAGCTGGGTCTTGTTCTGAATTATTCTGTAAGCAAAGGGAATAAAGAGTTGGGTAGAGAAGAGTAACATGATCAGGTTTGCATTTCAGAGAAAAAATTCTGTGATGTGGAGAACAGACTGGGGCAGGGAAGAGGACAAAGAAAGAAATTAGTTAGGGGGGAGGGGCCATTATTGCAGCAACCCATCAAGACATGGTGAGGCCCGAACCAAAGCAGCAGCAGTTTAACAGACTTCAGACCTGGGATGAAGTGATGGGGTATGAAGGTCCCTTCAGCATCTATAATGAGCACAGTAATTTTAAGGCATTTTTCACTTTCGTTATGGAAAAATTCCAAATGTTAATAGTGTAATGAGACCAAGCATGATGTCAGATCTGTTTTTCTAGTAACGTTTGTCCAGGTGCCCAGTGATATAGTCATCCTTATTCCAATTACCATCTGTTTTATGGTGTTTTATGGTAAGAAACTTCTTAATGTCTATCTTTCTGAGGGGTCTTTGTTGCAAAGTCCAAGTCCTGGTGTGCTACCAAGCACTCTGACTGTGTCACACAAAGCATATTGATGTGGTCAACACTGAACAGTGTCATCCTTCAGTACTGTGCTCTGACATAGTTGTGTCTATGATGCTGCCATGAATAACAAAACTTACATAATCCAGCTAAAGGAAATGCTCATCTGGAAAAGAAGACCCTTTTTGGCAGATTGGCAAAGAGCTGGCTCAGCAAGTCTAGGTTAGCTCGGCAGCAGAAAAAACTGACACCTGTCAGTGAGCTCCCAGGGCTCTCCCTTTCTACCAGGGCCATTTCTTCCAACAGAGAGCTCCCATTGTCAAGGTCACCTAGATGTTTCACACACAGGTCAGGTCCCTCACGTTTCTCCCAGTCCAAGCACCATGACAACAGTGGTGGAAGGATGGAGCCTGGGCACCTCTCCTGGACCAGAGCCTTGTCACAAGGCCACACCTACTAGAAAGGAAGCTGAGAAACATGTCCTTACCTGGGCA